CTCTCTAATTTTTTCTCAAAGTCTAAACTAGAACCTCTCCCCTTTTACAAAAGTTTACTTTGTGTATACAATAAGACCTCTCTAGGTAGGGGTTTACAAGAATTAAGCTCACAATAATAAATTACAAAGATTTTTAATAAGCTCAAAACTTTATATACAAGAGAAAATAAAAGATTAAAGAATGAAACTCTTTTCTCTTGATCTTTAAGCTTGAATAGATGTAGTAACCTTTTCAAGTGTTGTTGGAGTGTTTTTATATGTTGGAATGAATTTCTAACTGTTGGGTAGTTAATTTCAACATTAAAATCTACCAAGACGAAGTAGTATCGGTACTCCTCCTTGCAGCATCGGTACCACCTGTGTTAAATTTAAATATATATTGTTGAGAAGCTGGAGTATCGGTACAATATCTAGTAGTATCGATCTTACGAGTGTCGGTATCATTTTTACATTCTAAAAATTGAACAACTTTGAAATCAAAGGGTTATCAGTACTACCAAGAGAGTATCAGCACTACAAGAATAATATCAATGTTGTTCATGAAGTATTGATACTTCAAGAACAATATCAGTATTATTTACCCATAAAGATATTTTTGTGTTCAAACTCTCATTTTAAAATGCAAAAATAATTGAGAAAATGTTTGAAAAGATTTGGCAAGTTAGAAATACTTTTAAAAACATGTTTTTTCAAGTTTATTTGTACTTTGAATTATTTTTGAAACATTTGAACAAATTAAATGAAGTCCAAAAATATTTTACATTTATTTATTATATCAAAATATAGGTTAAACATATATAAAAAATTAAAGGTTTAATTATTTTTTTCCTAATTTGATGACCTGCTTAAGACCACTAATTAAGGTTTACAAACCTTTTTATTAATTACTAATTGAAGACCCTTCACTCAATTTAGAACACTAAGGTGAGATCATGGAAATTGAACCCGTCTTTAACTTATATTTTGTAAAATGTATAGATTCGTAAAATTTAAAATTTTATACAAATGAAAACAAGTCGTAAGGAATTGAAATATTAAAATAATACAATAAAAAATAATATAATATAATTTTTTTATACAAATTCTAAATCTAATCTTATTCATATCTAAAGATGAGGGAAAATGAGAACACTAAAGGAAGGAAGGAATAATCCTAATGGATCTAGAACTCGTGTTATAAAAGAATATAAGGAAACAAAAGTAAACAGCTTAATCAACCATCCAAATATACTTATTCAGAATACTAAAATTATTTAATTCAAAAGTCAATTCTTTTATACATAAAGACAAGTAAACCAACATAACTGCCATTGGGTTCGACCGACGAACAGGCACAAACATAATGTTCAGGGAGTTTAATGATGATTTTTTTACTGCGATGAGCAGTAGAATTGTCTTTTCATAACAGCAGATGTCACACACATTTTTAAAACTAATACTAATAAAAAATAGTATGATTTAATAATAAAGTATAATTTATTTTTTATTTCTCAATTAAAATATAACGGCAAATTCAAGTCATGTCTGAAAAAAATCACTTTCATTGTCTAGAAGCAATTCTTGCTTCGCACTAATAACATAATCATGTTGCCATTCTCCGTAAGGGTGGTTGTGTGTCTGGCCGGACTAGGCTTCTAGAACTAGAGGTAGTAGATTGTCTTCCAAGACCTTCTAGAATATTCCCTATAATTCGAGAAACTTTATGTAACTCGTGAGCCTCGGTCGGGCAACCATGAACATAAACCGGGAAACGGATATGAACCAATGGAACACAAAAATCTACCATAATCTGTCTCATAGTATATTGTTAACTCGTTCAAACCAGATTGTAATGTTCTTGAATATAGTAATGCTCTAATACCATTTCTTTCCGTTGAGGCATTGACGCTCTTCGCTAGAAACCTATGTTACTCGGACTTATGGGTGAGTTCTGATGAGCTAAAGGTTTCAATCTCCCTTCAACGAGCTGAGTTATCAATCACCATAAGTCGTTCCAAGAATAGCGATAAAGGGAAGGACGGAAGGCAATCGCTTCCAAAGTTCTGTTAATCGCCCAATGACGTGATCGCAGACAAGGGAACACAACAGCATCCAACACGGATATTGATCACATGAACAAAGAAAAAAATGACACATAAATCATGTTTCATGACTGCATTCATTCCGAAATTTAGCCTCTCAATAAATAACCTACAAGACAAGTTGTAAGAAAGTATCGAACCGAAATAATGTCCAACCAGGCATCGAAGCTCAGAACGGTCGGTTAGTTCTTGACGCCAGAAAATGTATTTAGTTACACACCACACTTTGTGCCGGCGACAACTATTATTCAAAACAAATCAGATGTGGCTCCATTAGGAACTTTTTCTTTCTTGTGCATCATGATTTCTCCAAGGATTAAGAGCTTCTCTCATTGCCTGAGCTTCAGGGGAATTCTCCCAAGCTAGCTTCTCAGACTCTAGAACAGTCACTTTATCATCTACAACACAAAAAAGGTATCGGTTCAATCAATAATTAAATGTAAAACATGGCAACTGACTCGACGAACATACAAAATCGTAAATATAACCATATCATAGTGATACTTGGGTTATTATCTTTCCTCGAAATAGTTAATTCTCTTATCCATCTCCCTTTACATTTACCATGGATTTCAGATAACAGATCAAACCAAATCTCTTTCAACCCATCATTAAGCATCCATTGAAACTAACTTTCACCAATGGTTTTTTGTCACTAATCATACAGTCATAGACTAATCGCAGTAAGGCATTACTTTAAATTACAAACACTGACATTAATCTACGCTTAACATAAATATAGGAAATTAGCACTTAGAAATAAGAATATCAGATTCTGCAGATGCAACCGGCTTTTTTCCGTATTCATTATATGACCTAGAATTTAAAACTAACCGTACATTACAACGAGAAAATTTTGAAAACAAAACCACCCTAGAGCTAAAAAGTTTTATTTGATTAGCATTAAGACTTGAGAAGATCAAAATAACTCCAAGAAAATCCAGCAACTAACAACAATAATATGGTACTAATATACCACTTTGCTCCATCATTTTTCTGTAAGTACCGTATCCGAATAGGGATTCAATCTCTAAATATGCGAAAAAACTAGAAAAAGACGAATTGGACATACTCGTGTTGGATACGTACTCGTTTATGTCACATATCTCCTTGAAGATATGTATCAAGTTAACAGGCAACCAAAGAAAGGGAAAATCAATGACTACAATTCTTAGGTTTTGATGAATAATATCATAAAATGCTGAAATGAATTAATTCAGATAAACCAAAGGGAGAGAAAATGGAGAGTTCTCACACAGAAGCCAGTCTTGATCATGAATAACTCCATGGAACCTCCAATCAGAGCTGACCCAACTGCAATCTTTAAGTACCAATCAAGAAACTTTATTGCCATTTTCCTTTTAGCTGCAAATGTTTTTTCCCCGCTTAGTTAGAACATTAACGAAAGAATCAAAACTCTGATCAAGCTACAATGTACTAAGTAGAGAAATATAAACTGTGAGCACTGATATTTATTAATTAGCTAAAACTTCAAAAAGAACAAAGAAAATGAAATTGAAGTTACCTCGAGTGGCTTGAGAAAGAGAATGAAACAGGAGTGAGCCCGGAAGCCAGGATTTGCAAACTGAGGTTTCCCTTTAACCGGAAACAGCGTCTCACTAGCCGGCCGCACCGACGATTGAGTCCTTATCGGCGACACAAAATGAATTGATGGGTGGCTGGCTGGCTCTTGGATTCGCAGTGTAGAGAACGGAAAGATAAATGAAAAAAAAAAGGGTTTTCAACTTTTGGGTGAGTAAAATATGGCAGATTTTATCACTGGATTAAAAAAATATGTTAAAGAGAAAGGATCATATATATTTTTATTTTAAAAAATGATGTTTAATCAACTGAATTAAGTCACTTAGATTAAGTGGCAATGATAATGAGTTAAATTTATTAAATAAATTAAATTATTTATTGTTAATTTTTAATAGTTAATGATGAAAATAACAAAAAAAGTCGCAATATTATGATTTTGTTGAAAAACTAATTTGACAATTAAAATAGAAAAGAGGTAATCATCTGGTAACTAATGACGTAGTTTATCCTTAAAAATTATACAATATAAAAATATCAATAAATTATCTAAAAATTATTAAAATTCTAAATATATATATAAAGTATAAAAAGTTTATAAAATTTATAAATTCATATAAAAAAAATAACAAATCATTTAAAAAAAACTTTATGAAATCAGCTCGGTGATAAAAGGTAATATAATTTTTTTTCTAGAAATTTCGGATTCGAACAGTTACGTCAGCAAGATGTGTGTATCTATTATCAATTAACTAAAAAAAATATGAACATATATCATCTTATAATTACATTACAGTCACTCCGTCTAAAAATAAAAAAGATTAATAATTGCTGGTATTAAAATACATAAAAAAAAAAAGTAAAAACTCAAACATTCAAAATATAATGTGAAATGAAAAGAGATATTAAAGAAAGTTCTACATTTATTATATTGTTGATGAATTTAAATATTATTTTAATCATTCTACTCTGTTAAGATTTAAAATCTAATCTATTTTAATATTCGGTAATATTATTAGTATATTCAAATTGATAATATCATTTCTTATCGTAAAAAAATGATAGTTAATTTCTCAGAAATATATAAATAATGTCATATTAACTAACAAAATTACAGGGGGGAAATGAAACAAGCATATATCTTAAGCATTTACCATATGCAGCTAACTGATCCCAAGAATGCATATAAGAGATTTAAATTGCGGGTGCAGTCGCGTTTTCAGGTTGTACTGCAGGTGTTATTGTGATCATAGGTATCACGATTGTGTAATAACACTTTTGGACGACACTTTTACTGCTATAAAATGGCAGCTATTTAAATCCCTGCTGCAGATAACCATGTTCTAAATTCTATGCCTACAAACACTGTGCCGGAGAAAATTCGGAGGAAGCTGAAAAAGAAGAAAGCAGGAACCTTCATTTACACTTTTGTCACAGGGAGGAACTTATTGTCTTTCTTCAGCCATACGGTAGATCGGGTTCGTCCGACGTGATCTTCGAAGAGCCGATGCCTACAAGTGTGTGTGTATATATATGTTAGGAATGCAAACTGTTCATCATATCTTAGCCAATGCAGAAAAATGAACCAATCATCTGATAAAATAACTAACACAATGGTACAAAATTTTGGGTCTGCATAAAGAACTTTTCATCCAATGTGCATGGTTGACATATGTTGCTCGGAGTAAGATGAGAGTTTCAGACATGGTCACACATGTATGTTTTTTTTTCTTTTTTGAAAAAAAAAAGTTTTTCGTGTATTTGAAAGGTTTTCGAAGGGTTCAAATCCCCTACCCATGTCTGGATATAGGTTGAACACGAGTACTTTAAGAAGAAAAAAGAAGAAAAATCGAAGCAATATAATCGAGTTGTGCTCCACTGTAACAAAAGCAACCGGAAGAATGATGTTTTCATCGTGATATGGTACAAACCTCTCATAATCCAGCTTCTGGGTAACTATTCCATTTAGTAGCAGCTCTGAACTAAAAATCTCTGCCCCTGAAAGCATAACGGCAAAACGTTCGAATAAAAACTCGCAGAAAAGCCATAAAGGAGCTAATTTACAAACTCTTATTACCTATTTCGAGGAAACGAACAGAAATTTCATAATCTTCTTCGCAAGATAGAACCAACAAATCATCTGGGAATTTGTCATCCTTCATAGCAGATCTGCCAATTCTCTCAACTGCCTGGAATTGTTGATTCAGATAACATAAAAAGGGAAATGATTTTTCATGATAAAACATCCATGCATTTGTATTTTCGAGAGAATTTTGAAGGGAACCCCCCCCCCATATACCTGACCGTGAACTGTGGTCACCAAACGTAATATTGTTTCTTTACCAGGCTTCGTATTTGGGGTGATTAAAACTCTCCGACCCTGCATAACTTCCACTATATTGTGAAAATCGAGATGGAACAAGCAGCCAAAGCAATAGGTAAATCTAGAAAATTTTACCTGTAGTAACGGTTTGCGTGCACGTGCTAAAGAAACCGGCATGCAAAAGCCAAGCTCTTTCTCTTTTTTGATTCGAATGCAATATAGAAAATCGACCTTTAGCTTTTGACACTTCAGATAGCTCAACATCCGTACTCCCAGATCTACTTTCTTGAAGGAAACCAGCTTCTTTGATCCGTTTTCTACCTTTTCTACAATTACTTACCATAGTCTCAGCCATTTCCACGTTTTTGACTGACTGCCCAGTTCTATGAGCAATGGGTGTAGTATGAACCTCTTCAGGATGTTGCTTCCTTATTGATCCACCACCACGAAGTTTAGCTTTCTTCAATTTTGGCAGAAGCAACTCCATGTTACAGTCCTTCCCTACACTCTTGGAGTGTTTCTCCATCAAAACTGAAGACTCTTCACTTCGCTTAGTTCTCTTGGATCGTCTCCTAAATCGAGCTACATCAGAACATGAAACATCCTTTCTTAACGAAGAAGAAATTTTCTTCCCAGTTTTTACCCTAAATGAACCTTTAGAGGAGCCCTTGGATATGCTTTGGACACCTTGATTAGAGTTCGGGTCAGTAGCCGTCTCCCCATAGAATAAGGCTTCCATAGCTTCAGCAGCCATCTGAGTGTCAAAACCTACATCATTTAGTTCTTTAGCAGCACCTATCTTTGTCCCAGTGGCTACCAATTGCCCTCTCAAGGAATCCGAATTAAATTGTTCATCAAAATCATTGGAATTATTTTTTCTAAAATTCATTTGACCTTCTCGTACTTTCTTGTCATTATCTTTCGACTTGCACAAAAGTACTTTTGAATCAGAATGAACTGTCATTTTATCAGCGGACTTCGGTTGGTCTCCATTAAGAGATTTATCTAGTTTCCTTCCTTTACGTTTCTGGGGGTGGGTAGAAGGTCTCCATGAATGGCTTCTATTACCATAGAATTCTTCCTTCATTCTACGATAAATATCACCCCCTCCATCATCCTCCAGAAAATTATCCCATTCAAAATTCCCCGCATCACCAGCATAGCTTCTTTCAATAGTTTTCTTGACCAAACTTTGTGGCCCTTTTGCATGTTGAAAAATAAACAAGTGGCCAAGCTACTTTCGGTGGCAGCCACTAATTTTGTCAAAAAGGGTTGGCTATTTGTTGAAAATCAACAATGGTAAAATCTTAATTTTAATCATTGTAATTTAGGGTATTTACAAACTAGTCTTTAAGCTTCAACTATAAATACCCTAGCTCATTTAGCTTCAAAACCATCCCAAAGCATTCTAGCTTTCTTCCAATACTAGAGAGAATTTAGAGAGTTTCTTGAGAGTTATTTTCTCCTTTTTATCAAGAGAGAATTATCATTGTTTTCTCCTTGGTAGATCGAGAGAGGTTGTAATTCCTATTTTCTCATAGTGAAATTCTTCTACCGTAAATTTTCACGTAAATTTTGTGTCTCTTTTTATCTTCATTTTTATTTTCTCAAATTATCAGTTGCGATTTTGCTCTATCCGATAGCCGTCTTCCGCAACAATTGGTCTCAAATTAGAGTGTGTAATATATGCTTATTGTCTTTGTGGTTGCCACCAAAAGGTGGATCCTCCAACATAAGAAAGTAAGAAGTTATTACCCATTCTTTGAAGGTTCCAGAGAACTATTCACGATAGTGAAATAGTGGGAGCTATCCGTAAACGAAGCAATGACAACGAAATTTGATATTGAAAAGTTCAATGGGAGAAATTTCTCATTGTGGAAATTGAAGATGAAGGTCATCCTAAGGAAAGACGGGTGTCTAGCGGCTATCAATGAAAGGCCGGTGGATTTCGCAGATGATATCAAATGGAACGAGATGGACGGGAATGCTATGGCAAATTTTCATCTAGCATTAGCAGATGAAGTATTGTCAAGCATCGAGGAGAAGAAGACAGCTAAGGAGATATGTGATCATCTCATAAAATTGTACGAGGCCACATCACTGCACAATAAAATTTTCCTTAAGAGGAAATTGTACACTCTCCGTATGCCAGAATCTACTTCAGTGACGGAGCACTTAAATACACTGAACACCTTATTTTCCCAGCTTACATCCTTAAGCTGTAAAATAGGAGAACAAGAACGTGTTGAACTTCTACTTCAAAGTCTACCGGATTCGTATGATCAACTAATCATCAACTTGACAAACAGTAATGTCACCAGTCTAGTCTTCGATGACGTTGCAGCTGCTGTTCTACAAGAAGAAAATCGACGCAAGAACAAGGAAGATAGACAAGTAAATCTACAACAAGCAGAAGCGTTAACAACGATGAGAGGGAGATCAACAGAACGTGGCTAAAGCAGCAGTCATAAACATGGTAGATCGAAGTCGAGGAGCAAGAAGAATTTAAAGTGCTACCACTGTGGAAAGAAGGGTCACTTGAAGAATGATTGTTGGAGTCTAAATAAAAACTCCAATCCACAAGGCAATACCGCAAACACTTCAGATGATGGAGATGCTCTATGCTGTGAAGCGTCAACCACCGTGGAAGACAGAAAAAGATTTACAGATATATGGCTCATTGATTCGGGAGTGACATATCACATGACCTCAAGAAGAGAATGGTTCCATCATTATGAACCTGTCTCAGGAGGATCTGTGTATAGTTGCAATGATCATGCCTTAGAGATCGTTGGTGTGGGAACCATCAAATTGAAGATGTATGATGGAACAATTAAAGTTGTTCGAGATGTGCGGCACGTGAAAGGTCTGAAGAAAAATTTATTATCCTACGGATTGTTGGATAATAATGCTAGCAAGATTGAAACACGAAAAGGAATCATGAAGGTGTTACGTGGAGCGCTTGTGGTGCTGAAAGGTGAAAATATAGATGCAAACTTGTACATGCTGAAGGGAGAGACATTGCTAGAAGCAGAAGCCTCTGTTGCCTCATGTAGTTCAGATTCTGCAATGCTATGGCATAAGAAACTTGGACACATGTCAAAACAAGGAATGAAAGTCCTTGTGGAGCAAAAGCTACTTCCAGGCTTAACAAATGTATCACTCCCTTTGTGTGAGCATTGCATAACAAGTAAGCAGCACCGGTTGAAATTCAACACATCAAATTCTAGAGGCAAAAGTGTTCTAGAATTGGTTCACTCTGACGTATGGCAAGCACAAGTAACGTCCCTAGGTGGAGCAAAATACTTTGTCTCATTTATTGATGACTACTCCAGGAGATGTTGGGTGCACCCTATTAAGAAGAAGTCAGACGTGTTTTCAACTTTCAAAAACTTCAAAGCGCGGGTGTAACTTGATTCTGGAAATAAGATCAAGTGTTTCAGAACAGATAATGGAGGAGAATACACAAGCGAAGAATTTGATGACTTTTGCAGGAAAGAATACATCAAAAGACAGTTCACAGTGGCGAACACTCCTCAACAAAATGGAGTGGCAGAGCGTATGAACAGAACATTGTTAGAAAGAACAAGAGCAATGTTGAGGGACGCAGGCCTAAAAAAATCATTCTGGGCAGAAGCAGTCAATACCGCCTGTTATTTGGTGAATCGAGCTCCATCAACTGCAATAGAGCTGAAGACACCAATGGAGATGTGTACTGGTAAACCAGTTGATTATTCAAACCTCCATGTATTTGGAAGTATTGTGTACGTGATATACAACGCCCAAGAAATTTCAAAGCTGGATTTAAAATCCAGAAAATGCAAATTCTTGGGGTATGTTGATGGAGTAAAAGGGTATCGCTTGTGGGATCCCACTGCCCGCAAAGTGATCATTAGCAGGGGTGTTATCTTTGTAGAAGATAAGCTACAAAGAAAAGAAGACAATGACAACGCTGAAAAGTCAGAGACTACACAGATACATGTAGAAAAGGAGTTTGAACAAGGAGATTCTTCTGAAGCAGAACCAGCACATGATGAACAAGAACCAGAGAGTTCTGAAGCTCCAACAACTCGTCAATCAGATCGTGTGAGAAGACGTCCCAATTGGCACTTAGATTATGTTATAGAAGGAAATGTTGCATACTGTCTTTTAACAGAGGACGGTGAGCCATCAACATATCAGGAGGCAATAAACAGCTCAGATGCTTCACTATGGATGATGGCGATGCAAGAAGAAATCGAAGCCCTTCATAAAAATAATACATGGGACCTTGTGCCACTACCACAAGGAAGGAAGCCAATTGGTAACAAATGGGTTTTCAAAATCAAGCGAAATGGTGACGATCAAGTGGAGAGGTATCGTGCAAGACTGGTGGTCAAAGGATATGCTCAGAAAGAAGGTATTGATTTCAATGAAATTTTTTCTCCCGTGGTTCGACTAACAACAGTTCGAGTAGTCTTGGCAATGTGTGCTACATTGAATTTACATCTGGAACAGCTAGATGTTAAAACAACTTTTCTTCATGAAAATCTTGAAGAAGAGATTTATATGCTCCAGCCTGAAGGTTTTGAAGAAGACGAAAAGAAGAACTTGGTTTGCAGGTTGAACAAATCTCTGTACGGTCTAAAGCAGGCGCCGAGGTGTTGGTATAAGAGATTTGATTCCTTCATTATGTGCCTTGGATACAACAGACTTAATGCAGACCCTTCTGTTTATTTCAAGAGGTCTGGTGATAACGATTTTGTTATATTGTTGTTGTATGTGGATGACATGTTGGTTGCAGGACCCAACAAAGATCATATTGAAGAATTGAAGGCACAACTGGCTAGGGAATTTGAAATGAAGGACTTGGGATCAGCAAACAAGATTCTAGGGATGTAAATTCACCGAGACAGAAGTAATAGGAAGATTTGGCTTTCACAAAAGAATTACTTGAAGAAAATCTTGTCACGATTTAGCATGCAAGATTGTAAGCCAATTTCTACCCATCTTCCTATTAACTTCAAATTATCCTCCAGTATGAGTCCTAGTAGTGAAGAAGAGAGGATGGAGATGTCTCGAGTACCGTATGCATCAGCAGTGGGAAGTTTAATGTTTACTATGATATGCACAAGACCAAACATTGCACAAGCAGTGGGAGTGGTTAGTCGGTATATGGCGAATCCAGGCAAAGAGCATTGGAATACAGTAAAGAGGATCCTGAGATACATCAAAGGGACCTCAAATGTTGCATTATGTTACGGATGATCAAACTTACTAATCAATGGGTATGTAGATTCTGACTATGCAGGGGATTTTGATAAAAGTAAATCTACAACAGGATATGTGTTCAAAGTTGCTGATGGAGCTGTAAGCTGGGTTTCTAAGTTGCAGTCAGTTGTGGCTACATCCACAACAGAAGCAGAATATGTAGCAGCTACACAAGCCAGTAAAGAAGCAATTTGGTTGAAGATGTTATTGGAGGAGCTTGGGCACAATCAAGAGTATGTCTCTCTATTTTGTGACAGTCAAAGCGCCTTGCATCTAGCAAGGAATCCAACATTTCATTCAAGGACAAAACACATACGAGTTCAGTATCATTTCATTCGTGAAAAGGTGGAAGAAGGGACAATAGATATGCAGAAGATCCATACCAAAGACAACATAGCAGATTTCATGACAAAGGCGATCAACGCTGATAAATTTACTTGGTCTCGATCCTCTTGTGGCCTGTCAGAGACATAAGCAACATGATGGTACAAGGTAGAAAGAATTGTGTGACGATATGATTGTTCCAATCAAATCTTCAAGTGGGAGATTGTTGAAAAATAAACAAGTGGCCAAGCCACTTTCGGTAGCAGCCACCAATTTTGTCAAAAAGGGTTGGCTATTTGTTGAAAATCAATAATGGTAAAATCTTAATTTTAGTCATTGTAATTTAGGGTATTTACAAATTAGTCCTTAAGCTTCAACTATAAATACCCTAACTCATTTAGCTTCAAAACCATCCCAAAGTATTCTAGCTTTCTTCCAATACTAGAGAGAATTTAGATAGTTTCTTGAGAGTTGTTTTCTCCTTTTTATCAAGAGAGAATTATCATTGTTTTCTCCTTGGTAGATCGAGAAATATTGTAATTCCTATTTTCTCATAGTGAAATTCTTCTACCGTTGCCCGTGGTTTTTACCCTATATAATTTAGGGGTTTTCCACGTAAATTTTGTCTCTTTTTATCTTCATTTTTATTTTCTCAAATTATCAGTTGCGATTTTGCTCTATCCGATAGCCGTCTTCCGCAACATTGCACATGAGATAAGTTTCGAGTTCCGCTCCGTATTATTTCTCAAATCAATTTCATCATCAAGTTCCATCAAATTATCATTTACAAATCTTTCCATGAAATTAAGTGCATTAGCTTGTGATAACTCCCCAGGTTCCTGAGAGTCGATGTAACTTAAACCTGCTGATGGATCATCGCAATTGGGAACCTCGAGCAAGTCTTCTCTTTCAGTAAAACAATCCTCGGTAAAAAGTTTTCTTGCAGTTGCACAACCAACCCTGGAATTGATAGAGTTCTTATCGGAATTACCCTGATCTTGTGCCTGACTATGTTCTCCATGACTTCCGGATTTAAACCATTAATATCGACTGCACACTGGTCTAAAAACTGACTATCAGTCGGGATAGAACAAGACTTGCTGTTCATTTGTCGTAATGCCACATTACGAGCTGCAAGACCAGAGGTCCGCATGGACACTGCACTGACTGAAGTAAACCTTCGGACAGATCCTAAAGAAAACAAGCAATGTTAATAGAGAAATTGAAGGACTGTATTTAATAAAATTTGAGAATGAAATGATAATGCTTCCAAATGAGAGGTAAGTAAGAAAATAAATTGTTTTAATATTACTCATCGTCACATTCGATCTAGATTAAAAGAGGAATAGCGTGCAAATATTGATGAAAAACATAATCAAGTAATTTTCTTAAAGGTATTGACTAATGCGGGTAGCTTAATCTTGCAAATAAGGTTTACGGCAATAGATGCAGGATGAACACAAAGGATAAGCAAAAGTGCTTCAAAGTTTATCAAACCGCTTATCAAATAGAGCCATAACGTATCAAGAAAGTCAAGCATTCCCGACCATGAACAAGCCATATAAAATTACCAGGTTACCGTTCTGACACAGCTTTGAAATCTGGGGTTGCAGTAGGAACATGGATTCCTTAAGAAACATGCAGCACAATATCATAACTTCAGTTGAGACAACAGGATCAACTTCCTTGCATACAGAACATAAAGATATCCGTGGCCAATACTACAACATTTTCCAAAAAAAAACACTCAGAAATAAAACATACCCAAACTCCTCTGTTTGTCAGTAGGTGTATTAAATTGCTCCGAACATTCCTTCTCCTCCTGACCAAACGATTGACCATGATCGCTAATTACTACCTCACCGTCCCAGAACTCACCAACATCATCCAAAACCTCAGTTCCATCTGTTCCTTCACCTTCACTATCAAGAGCAACTCCAACATTGAATTCATCCAACAATTGGGTCTCCATATTCTCACAGCAATCTGAATCATCCAACACCTGTGTTTCGTCACCAATGTTCAACATTTGAGTTTCCTCACCCAGGTTCAGACATTAGGTCTCAAATTCATCCTCAGTTGAAACATTGTTATCATCTACAGGAACCGTATCTTGTAGAAGGTTTAATTCAACATCATCCTCATAATCATCTCTGTCACCTATATGTATTTTTTTTCAAATCCATAATTCATATAAATTTCAAATGATTTAAAAGCATAAATAACCAATACTAAAATATTAAGTGAAAAATCAAAGATTGAGATAAACATACCACAAAAAGGAGAATCGGGAAACTGAGAGTCAAATTCATCTTCAATTGGAACATTGTTATCATCTACAGGAACCGTATCTTGTAGAAAGTTTAATTCATTGTCATCTCTGTCACCTATATGAATTTTTTTCAAACCCATAATTCACATAAATTTCAAATAATTTAAAGCATAAATAACTAATAATACCAAAATATTAAGTGAAAAAAAAATCAAAGATTGAGATAAACATACCACAAAAAGGAGAATCGGGAAACTGAGAGTCAAATTCATCTTCAATTGGAACATCGTTATCATCCACAGGAACCGTATCTTGTAGAAAGTTTAATTCATTGTCATCCCTGTCACCTATATGTATTTTTTTCAAACCCGTCATTCACATAAATTTCAAACGATTTAAAGCATAAATAACTAATGATACCAAAATATTAAGCGAAAAAAAATCAAAGAATGCGATAAACATACCACGACATGGAGAATCGGGAAAGTGGGAGTCAAATTCATCTTCAATTGGAACTTTGTTATCATCCACAGGAACTGTATCTAGTAGAAAGTTTAATTCATTATCACACCCGTCGCCTATGTGTATTTTTTTAAAACTCGAAATCACATAATTTTCAAATAATTTAAAGCATAAATAACAAATATGCTAAAATATTAAGCAAAAAAAAAATCAAAGATTGAGATAAACATACCAGGAAAAAGAGAATGGGGAAACTGGGAATCAAATTCAAAGGGCTGGGTCTCGGCATTTCCAAAATCGGTGCTTAGGTTTATTTCGGAGGGTTTGGTTTCGCCATCGATGTCTCCGATACTGCCCATTTTTCACTTCAATTCATCTGCGAATTCAACACAAGCTTTTTATGGTTTTGGGTGGTGCAGAGTGAGGACAGACTATTCTGCTGCTTTCAGGTGGTTTCTAAATTCTAACAAGGGTACAAGTTCAATGGAATTTGTTTTAGTTTAATAATTGTTTGCAATTGATAAAATATAATTATATTTTAAAAAAACTATGCTCATTTTTTTAATATTAAAAATTAATCATTAATAAAACGCATGTACACTCAACGCTCCTGCCAAAAAAAAAAATAATAACCTGGTGAAGGAATATACATTCACATCAAGAATAAAATCAGTATTAAAAACTTTGCTAACAATGTAAAAAGATCGCTTTAATAATAAATATTTACTCTAATCAAATTAGTCAATTAATATATCACATTAGTTAATCAATAGATAGATCAATTTGTTCCATTCCAATCATCTCCATTAACGAATGAAATAGTACAATTCCAACAAAAGTAACGTTTGAACAATTAAGCATAAAGACATGTAATTGACAAAAGTCTTCTTGTATCCAACTGATCTGCAATGACTACAACAGAATTAACATTAAGTCCTCAAAATCATATTGATGTTACAATTGTTTCACATCAGAACATGACTCAATGAAGATTTAAGGGCATCCTTTTACACCTACAGAAGTTAAGGCATTAACCAAATGATGTTATGTTTTTTAAACCATTGACCTGTAGAGCATCGTGTAATGTACACATAATGTAGAAAAAAGGGAATACATGATTAAACTTGATGATCTTGCTACTCAAAAACCTATTAGGAATAATAATGTGGTGGCAATGCTGCAGGATCAAGTCCCCAACATCCTCTTAGACTGCCATTTCTCTCATTGGTTAGCTGGAAACGCGGAATCTGATGAGAAAAACGAAGCTGATTGACCCGAGGGATTTCGAGTGTGACGTTCGTTCTTTCTTTTACTTGAGGCTTGAAAACAGAATTGAAGCCGTCGACTTTGTCTAAAACACGAACCTTGAAGAGGAAATAGTTATCCTCTAATACCTGCACTATGTCATATTCCCAGTTCTCCAAGTCGGAACATTTGATGTCGCGAGTCCAGTTTCGATACAAGGCCCAGATTTCGCCTCTTCTAGGTACGATGGTGTATTCGCCCTTCGAACCAGTAGGCTCGGCTTTTAACAAATGAGAAAAGGAATCAGTGGAGGTGTAGGCCTGGGAACTGTTTCTAACGTCAAATTTGCCGCAACAAGTTGGCATGTCTGGATCAGACCACTCGACTGTGTCCAATGGGATAGGAAAAAGCCATCTCACATATTCTGAAAACTGGGTGGGAGTCGATTTTCTTGATCTCACCGTATTACTTTGGCAAACCATCCTCATCACCATACAGTGCCCACATCTGACCAATGCGGAGCTTTTCCTTTATTTTGTCGGCATCAAAACTGTATAATTCTGATTCTGGAATTTCAAAGGATTTTGATGCCGAAGCCGAAGCTGAAGGAACAGAACTATTTGATCCTACCATTGGCTTCCCCGTTTCTGAATCACTGGGACATGAACTACTAGGATCTCTGCCATTACTTTCCTACTTCAAGTCCTTGGAAACAAAAATTTCTCCAGGTAAAGAAGCTGGATCGAGTTCAAACGAACCTTTTGGCTCCCCTAGTCTCTCTTCACCAGTCAGCACAAAAGATGGCACCCTGTGTGAAAACCTGAATCGTTCATCAGGTGGGATTAGAAACGTATCCTTATTCACTGGAGAGAAGACACTCACAAACCCTTTGACCTTAGTCAAGTAAGAAACCCGTAGTCCTACACCTTCAGCATTCTCTGATAAAATCTCAACATATTCATACTCATATTTCTGGGCACCAAGTTTCCATTTGATGTTCCAGTTCTTAAAAAGGGCCCAAGTTTCTCCTTTTCTTGGGAATATCTTATAGGTGTCTCTAGATGTTCCTTTTTCCCAATATATCAAATGGGAAAACATAATACGCTCTTCAGTGTTTTCAGACACCCCATGTTTGAAGTTACCACATGAAGCGGGTAAACCTTCACAGACCCATTGTATTTCATTCTCATCATCTGGATCTGGTTCTAGCCAAGTTATCCTCAGCTTGAACCCATACGAGAAAACTTTCGTGATCCGAGCATAGAATCTAGGCATGGCATCTAGTGTATCGTACAAAGCCCAAATCTGCCCTACTGAAAAACACTCTTCTTTCTTCTCTTTGTTGAAGTCATTAAACTCAGGGTCGGGGAAATCAAAAGGCCCAGGCTCTTTTGTTTCTTTCAAACTTGAATTTGACACAGAATCATCAACTGCGGGTTTTGAATTTCCCTTGATACCATCAGCAGAAGCTTCCCTAGTATTCTTACCATTGGGTAAGCTCGCCTCAAAACGTTTACACTCTCTGTGGTCCGTTGCTTTCTTATCTTCTTTCGCTTGATTTTTGTGTACAGGCTTGTCTTCATCAGCCATTTCTTCAGTGGCACAGTGCGATCCACTTCCCTTGGCCTTTTTGGGTGGATTAATTGTGTCCCCCTCGTCGCTTAAATTTTCCTTGCAAGAAACATGTTGCTTATGCCTCCCAGATCTCCGCACATTCTGCGGTACTTGAGAATCAACCTTCTTTCCAGACAACACTTCACCATCATCATCGATCACCGCATCCTCCTCTGACTCAACGCTACTTTCACTGTCACAGCTTTCACTGGATTCAACAGTTTGTTTCCTTCCTCTTTTACCATTCGCTTTTTGTGTTTGGGCATCTGAAGTGCTAGTTGCCTTTGAGATCCTTGATAAACTCCGCCAGTACTCTGATTCTGGACAACTCCTTGTCGAGGAAAGTTCGACTGATTCATATTAGTTGCCTGTGGAACTGCACCTGAGTCATAGGCAACAAAGTACTTGCTGCAATTTTGACAACGAAGAGATCTGTTAAGCTCGTCTGTAAAATACTGGAACCTAACTGCACAGTACGGACACTTGGTCCAAAAAGTGCGATGGCCATTGGAGAACCCTGCTTGAGTTGGTGGTTGTCTCTGTTGTTGAGAATTCAATCCAGAAAAGTTGGGGATATTATTCTGAGCAACTGTGTATGCTTGCGAACTTGGATTCTGCGGAGGGCGAAATGCTGCTTCCGGAGACGGTCTATTAACAGTCACTTTGCGCCTCATGTCATGTGCAGATCTTTTGCCTTGATCCAAAAGAGTTCGCTGAGAATCCCCAATCAACTTAAAAGCAGCTTCTGCTCCTGGAAACTTATTCTTATCTGGGTGAAGTTGGAGGGCGAATTTTCTATACTGCTTCTTTATAGTACCTCCATCAGCTGTCTGCTCCACCTTAAGTATGGCATACCAATCCTTCTCATTACCAAACAACGGCTTCTCAGCAGCACAGTGCACGTCACACACTATTATCATCTGAGAAATATTCTCCAGATCCTGGAAAAGTTGTTGGGCCTTGTTCGCAATTTTAAGAGCCCCAGAAAAATCCCGATTCTGCATCTTCTTCTCCGCAATGTTTTTGGCCCTGATGGCTTCTTCCCTGTTGCAATCCATTGGCAAAAAAAATCCAGACTGGAGCTGGTTGAATGTGCTTCAGGCACAAAAAATGGGATAATGATTGCTTTACCAAACTAATTTAATTAAATTGTGGCAGAATTCGGTACTCTGCCTCCAAGACCTGTCAAGGATCGGACAAGAAACTCATCTCCCGTCTCCTCATGGGTCCTGTAGTAGTTTTATCACCATTAGAACAATTAAGAACCCATATCTGACAAAGCCAGGAATCCAAAGACATCAAAATCTTATCTATCATAATCAATATCACATTTAACATTATAAGTTGATTTGTGTGAATGAATACAGCGATGTAAAAGCTCTACGAAAAGGGTAAAAAAACAATGTACTTGCAGCATTCTTTGAAATGCATTGAAAAGATAATCTAGTGTAACATAAAATTAAGGAATCAAATTTTTCGGTTAGAGTTCGGGGAAATAAGAAATTGAAGTCTTCATAATTCTGCATTGACCAAACCATCCAACCAAATTTCGGAAACTATAACTAAATGTTCCGAAAATATCATCGCAATTTTTAATTAAAAAAACGCCTAAAATGATACCATAGTCCATGGAACACACGTAAGAATAAGAACAATTCAGTAAAAAGATACAAAATAACAAAACCATGTATATCAACACGAGTTATAAAGTATGTTTTTCCATTAACATTGTTTCCATAATAAGAAAAACCAAATAAATTCCCTCTTTCGTTCTAGCATTGAGACAAAAAACCCTAGTTTATAAACAATTCCAACCCCGTAAAAACAACTAAACATAAATAAAAACCCAAAACCCAAATTCTAACCCACAGAAATGAACTAACGTTTATGAAAACAAAAATAAACCAAATCCATACGAGCCATGAACAAACATGAACGGCGAAGAAAACACATATGCATTTGGTGACGCAAACCCCAGAATAACGTAAGTCATCAAAAATTCAAAAAACAAACCCTAAAATTTGAAAGAGCAATAAATTGAAGAAACAGAGAGAAATTGAACTTGCCTGTTTCTGAAATTGCAGAAGAGAAGAGTGAAGAATTCTCAACAACGTCCAAAAAAAGGTTTTAGGGATTTGAGGGACATAAACCAGGGGGTTGTCAACTCTAGGGACATTCTAGGGAATTAAATTACATAAATGCCCCTAAAATTTGATGAATTTATAATTCAAGAATAAGTGTGAATATTCAATCGAGTCAAGTCGAATTAAGTATAAATCTTTTGTTAGTTCAGTTGACGAGTTTTATCTTATAACTCAAACTTTGTTTGAATTTTTTCAAGTCAAGTTTATGAAGTTCGAGTTTCTATTTATATTTAAGGTAAAATACACAAATGGCCTCTAACTATGGGTGTTGCTTTGTTGAGTCTCTTATAATTAAAAGTCATAAATTGCCCTCTAACTATATGGGGTTGCTTTGTTAAGTTTCTTAACTATTAAAAGTTGTAAAATGATTATCTAATTATTCATATGTTCCAGACTCATTTTTTCTGTTAAAAAATTAAATATCATCTAAATAGAATATTAATTTGTTGACTATAATATGATAAAATTTGATCTCATAACCGTTTGTGTTGTATAATCATTTGAGATTATGAGAAGAAATTTTATTATATTTCAATTAGTAAGTTAACGTCCAGCACATATGATCGTCAATTTTTAACAGAAAATAACGAGTTTGAAATATATGAATAACTAGATGAACCTTTGTAATTTTTAATAGTCTTAAAACTCAACAAAGTGGTGACCTAGTTGAGAGATCATTTTAATAATAAGATGACCTAACAAAATAATGTTCTATGGTCAGAAGATCATTTATGTACTTTACTCTTAAATAAAGGCAGCACCCTTTGTTTACCCCTATCATAAAATAAGACTTGTCTATGAGTCATATCACACTCGAACTTTGTAATCTCTTATAACGCTAACTGAAGCATGTTGTGTATAATTTGTCTATAATTAATTATTGGTATCTAATTTATACATCGACTAATCCAGGTAATATATATATCGTAGTGGCTCAATTACGGGAACAACATTTTCAATTCGATTTATTTCATTCATAATATAAAAGTTTGAAATTTTAATCTTATTTAAGTCTAATTTCTTATCTAATTAGATAGATGAATTGTGAATATGATTTTTTTCACTATAGGTATACAACATACTCTCTTTATATAAATATATAATTATAAATTAATTAAATAAATATATAGTTTGTCATATCACATCTATTTATTGATAAAAACCATTCATTTTACGGAAACTGATTGATAACATTCTCCGACTGTACGAACAAAATTATTGATAAATAATTAGTCATTATCTTTCCTCGTTTATATTTAATTTTATAATTTTCATTATTAATAAATAGTAATTATTTATCAGTTAAAATAATGAGAAACTTCAAAACTTATAAAGAAATAGTAATTATAAGGAGATAATCTAATTTTAAGAGATATTATTAAAATTCCAAAAGAATTACTTATCACTTAAAATAATGAGAAACTTTAAAACTTCCACAAAAATTTTTGAACAACTCAAATTTCTTATTTATATTCCACCTAAAGATATTTTTTTTTTAAAATTCCTTCGTATATTATTTTATTTAATACATACTACTATAAAGTTGAAAACTATGCTAAAAGGTAAACTTAAAAATGAAATATTTATTTATTATTAAATAATATCTTAAATAAGTTAATTGAATTTCGGTTGGCATCGTAGATGTTGTAACATATAAAAGGATGTAGGTTTTCTTTTTTGTTATAAAAAGTTTAGGTGAGTGGTGGCTTCTCAAATCAGGGTTAGGGCATACCTAAGACTCAATTGAGATTTACATAGGAATTTACAGATTACCCATCAAGAGTGACGGTAGTAGGATTCGAATGATATAAGTGTGAGTGTACAATATCCTCTTATTTATAATTTTGAACCTCAAAGACGACGTTATTAGGATGACAATTATAGTCTCTGAATATATATCATCAAATAAATTTTAAAAATACAAAAAATATCAAATGAGATCAATGTTTAGGATTTAATTGTCTCATACAAGTTAATTGATACTACATTGGTAGACATATTATTTATTCTTTAGTACCGATACATATTGGTACTGATCTATTTTGATACACCATCATGAGTTTATCGTTATTTTATAAACATTTGGATCAAATTGGACCTACACACAAAAAAATTTAAATTAAAATAAAACTTAATACTATTTAATATCGATTTAAGGTAAATACAATATTAAATACCATGGTGAAATTGGTCTTTATCTTCTACATGTATATATGTTCCTGAACTAATCTTTAGTTTTATTTTCTCTGAATTCACATTTCACCATAAAATCCGATAAATATATTTTGTATAATAATCACATTTTATATCTTAAAATTCATGCATGAAAGGGGTAATTTAGAAAATAAAAGCAAATGCAGTGGTAATTTAGAAAATAAAGGCGAATGAAAGGAAACAACGGAGGGTAATTTCAGTAATAAGCTAATTAATTTAGGGCAATTGTGACGAAAGCTAATCTGTTTAAGAGTAAGAAGGGTAATTGTGGCAAACAGAATCAATTGAAGGACAATTGTGGCAAAGTACTAAAACATCCCCTTTTAAATAAAATTTAATATTATCATAGGGATATTTCTGTATTTTTCATATAATGTTTATTTTGTAACAAAAGAATTAAAAATTATTACTTGAGTAAAAAAAATAAGATTACTAAATTATTATCATCTCACTTATAATACTTAACTAAAATATTTTTTATTATATATTTTAGTTTAATTAAAAATAAATACTCAGATTATGTCTATAATTTATTTTAGATGTTACTGAAAATTTATTTTAAAGAGTTTAAGAGTTGATTATACTTAAAGAATGATGAGCTCATGAGTATCAGTGACAAATTCACTAAGGCGCGAGGGTGAGCACATGCCCACTCTAAAATATAAATTTTATTCAAATAATGATTTATTTTATTGATCATAAACACCTTAAAATTTTATTTATGTATCCATCCTGAAAAACAT